TAAATAATTTTTTTTTTTACTTTTTGTTATGGATTAGGTTTAAAATCCAATTAAAAAAAAAAGATATGCACTTTTTCAATAGCACTAATCATTGATTTACAAACGTGAAATGCAAATATTTTTTTTCTTTAAAATCTCTTCTTTCCTAATTTAACATTCAAAGTTGAAATCCCCGGCTTAGAATTTTAAGGGTACACTCCATTAAACCTTGAATTTACCCAAATGTTACTGTCTTCCTTGTCTTCTTCCTGTGCAAAATCCCCACTTTCTTACAGTTGACCAAAGAGTCATGTCTTGGCATCTTAACCAAGTCAGTTGGACAAATTAGTTTAGGGCGGAAGTACTACGATTTGGTTCCTCACACTAGGAACCGAAGAAACCTAGATCTAGGTTCCCTCACCAACAAGCGAGGGAACGCAGCCTCGCTCGACGACGAGATCCTGCAATCCAAGTGTCCGAGTGGTCACGCAAGGAGCCCAACCTTGGCCAACGACAAGGTCAAAATTGCTATATTTGATTTTAGACTTTAGTGATAGATTTGTGAATGTTGAACAAAATAGAGTTTGATTCGCTTTGATTTGTCAATAATCGTGCATTGTTCACAATTTCTTACTATTTCGTGTGAAAATAAATTTTAAATTATTTTTTTTACAATTTCTGAGAATCTAAATTTTCCGGTTGCATGAACATCCCAAACGCTAATCTCTACCGAGTATGATGGCAAATTACATTTAGGGATGAAGTTTTTGCAGTGTTTGGACAAAAAACCATTTGGCTTTTGGGGCTTTTTCTTCCATGGTGGGTAAGAAGATGGAGAGGAGAGATGCAAAGATATGGAGAGGGTTAATTTGCCAGAGATTCATTCATGCTTAATACGGTGAAAGGATGTACAGAGGTGGGGTGAGATATGCAGAGATATGGAAAGGAAAGAGAAAGGAGGACGAGACGATGAGGAAGGAGATGACAACAAAGTGGGTGTGCGCCTCCAATGGATTTTTTTTTTCGAAAAAAATTCAGGTGCCATCTAAACATGGATGGTTTTTTTGTCATTTCGTTTATTGCCACCCCACTAAAAAACGGCCATCTCAGCAGAATCTTGCCACATCGCCAACCAGGTGACGACTTGGTTGCTGAGTTGGATGCAACATCATTCAAGTATGTCCAAATAATGTCCAAATTAGTGGCAAAATCGTGCCACGCAACGATGCAGTTAATGGAATGTAACAGGCACAAGCTCTGCACGTGATCAACAAGATAACTTTGGAGTTTTCCACATGATTTTAATTTTTTTTTTAACAAATTCGTATGGGTGAATTCGAATAGTTACTTTTGAGAATGAGAAAATGCATTTATACGTGGTTTTATATCACTGGATTAAAAAATTTAAGTGCTTTCATATGTTTTTAATTATTTAAAGTGTTAATTAAAATAAAAATTTAAAAATACATTTATCATAACAAATAATAATATAAAAAGTATAAATAAAAAATTTAATTCTATATAAATTTAAATAAAATATTATTCATTTAAATATTAATAATATTTAAATAAAATTTTTATACTAATATCTATAAAATTTTAATTTATCATTAAAATCTCTTTCCAAATATTATTTGCCACTATAATTGAGTAATTTACCATAATGGATTTAGTTCTTTTCATAACACTCAAAAAAAATTATGCTTTACATCAAAAAATTCTATTTCTTTCAAACTAATGCGCGTCTCCTTATTCCAGGGCGTAAAGGATGGAGTAAATGACCTCGAAAATGAGAAAGTGAAGTCAACTTGGGCGGCTTCACAGTAGGCATTAGTACAGCAGCGGCTAACAATTAAATCATATTAATTTTTATAACTATTATTTTTATTAGAAAAAAAAAAAAATCAACTGATGTTAATGCTAATTATTTTGGAGTGGATTGGTTTGTTCCGAGAATATCTTCAATGTAATGGTAAACAAATATAGTTTCGAATATTATTGATTTGTTAAATTTATGGTTTAAAATTTGGGACTCAAATATATTTTTTTTAAATGTACCAACCTAATGTTAGATATGCCTTTTTAAAATTGTCAAAATTAAAGAAGAATACACTTTCTTCTGCTTCTGCGCTAGCTGTTGCCCATTTCTGCTTCATCTTCTTATCATCAGTTGGAAAATTCAGAGCTCAAAATGCCACCACTGATCCATCTGGAGGTATTTCACTTCTCTGTTCTCTTTCTCTAACTCATCGACTCATCTTGATCCAAATATCCAATCCATATAAATAATGAACACATATATGTATATTATAGATTATTTAATATCAACATGTATCATAAAAAATTAAATAAAATTTTTTTTAAAATGACGTCGTTTTCTTACTTTTGAATAAAAAAAAAAAGAGAGAGAGGGAGAATATATTCAATGGAATAGATGGAATAGGTGGGTCATGCGCGGTACTAAAGTCAATTAAATATGCTCTTGCATATCGATCCTCATGGCCCAAAAAGTCTTTAATGTAGCTGAGGTCGGCACTCAAATCAATTAAATATGCTCTTGCATACCAGTCCTCATGGGCCAAAAAGTCTTAATGTAGCTGAGGTTTTCACTATATCTCTCTCTCTCTCTCTCTCTCTTTAGTGGAGGTTTCCATATCTGCTGTGCTGGGGTAGAATTGGAGAAAGAAGAATGAAGGTACTTACTTCTGCTTCTGCTCTGGCTATTGCTCACTTCTGCTTCATCTTCTTCTTATCATCAGTTGGAAAATCCAGAGCTCAAAAAGTCACCACTGACCCATCTGAAGGTACTTTCCTTCCCTGATCTCTTTCACTACCTCATCAACTCATCTTGATCCAAATATCCAATCCATATAAATAATGAACATACACATATATATATATATATAATTAATATGTTTTGACAATTAAAATATTAAAATTGATAATAAAAAAAATTAAAATATTTTAAATGAATTAATTAATAAACAAAAAAATTAAAAAAATTCTTCTAATGTTACATCCACTAAATTTTTTTTATTATTTAATAAACGCGTAATTTATAATTTTATATAAGTAAAAATACTCTAACAAAATTCATTATAACTCTATCAAAATTTTTTATAATATTTATAATACCTTTTTTAGATATAATAGTTAAAATAGTAAATTTTTAGGAAAATTTTCTGCATAATGGGTTCCTCAAATTTTCCCTTACAATTTGGTAATGATTCTAAATTTTGTTTCAATTAAGGGAAAAAGCTCTAACTAAAGAACTTCTAAGTGTATCCCAAATTTACTTATTTTGAATAATCATTTTGTCAAATGTCATAAATCTCTTTCCTCATATTTTAAACTAAATCCTTTTATCTCGTTATTGTCATTATATAATTAATATAAAATTATTACAAAATATTAAAATAAACCGATATCTAACCTTGGCTGTGTCACAACACAACCGAAGATATTTTGGTTCCCTGCCCATGTGAGAGAACCCTAAGATTTCATAGTTATTTGCGAATTGAGAATATTAAAATTTTTCAGTTTCCGCCAATGTGGGAACCCATAACTAGACCTTAACCCGAATCAGTTTGACCCAGATGCTGCAATTTTCTTCTATAGTATTTTCAAAGTTTTTCTATTTGATTTTGTGTTTCTTTGGGTGGTTTTTCCTCAAAGGTTACTAATCTGATTTTTTGTTTGTTTGGATGTTATATTGGTGATTTGGGTTGGATGAACATGATTTTTGTTTTTGGGTGGCAAGAATCAAAAAGTCTTAATGGATCCAAAATTTTATGGGTTTTCATTGGGAAAGAAATGAAGATCCACTTTGTTTGATTTGGTAGTCTATTTGGACTTCACGAGTTCACCAGAGAAGAGGAATTATGCTTTTGAAGGCGAAAAGAGGGAAAAGGAAGAGAGAACCAATATTAATTTTTTTTTTTGTTTAATTTGATATAAAAAGAATTTCAGTCTCATTTTTTAATATACGTATATTTCTATTAGGGTATTACAGACTTTTCAAAAATATTATGTTACACTTAAAATAAACTTAATTAGTACTTTCTTCACTTATTTGAGAGGTTAATATTAGAATTCCCCTAAATCAAGAGAAAAAATTTAATCAAACCACTCAAAAAAAATATTTTT